TTAAACGTGTGTTTTATATAAAACGTAGCACGAGAAATTAAACTAAAAGTGCCGTAAAAGGACAGGCGTTTGCCGACCTCGAATTGACCTCTAAACCTTTTACGTTACGTCTTCCAAATGCATTGTGGATTCAGTTCCTAGAGTAAAAAAAAAAAAGAAATCCACCATGTTTTGTCCCAAACATATCCTACAATGCATTGCGTATACGGTACATGACGTAAAAGCTTCGAAGGGCTATATGTGCCGAAGGCCTGATCACTACATGACTCAGAATCTGGAATCAGACAAAATTTTGGCTCTGGAATTCAGAGTCCAGACGCTTGGGAATCCGGAATCCACGGCAATGTAAAGTCGATAATACGAAAGTTATCCGACTTCAAAAGGACAAAATGACTTCACATATTTCGCAAGTCACTGACGGTGAAAACATAAGAGTGCTTTCTTCCATTTTAAATCCAACATGGTACATGCAATCGAGATTCCTTGCGAAATTTTCCATGGATTCCGAAATCGAGGCGCTTCTAAATCCAAGAACGCTGCGAATTCTTTGTCATGCGGCGAGCCTTACAGATTACAGATCAGATGCAATTGCCGGATTTCAAACCGAGTGGGGACTGGGCAAAATCCCCTAATTGGATAATCACGAGATTTCACGAGGTAAGACTTACATATAAAGAAAGCCCTTGTTGAGAAATGCAAAATTCCAAAATCTGGTGTCAATCAGTTCAATAGTGAACGAGTTACGAGCTTTCAAAAATTCTAAAATTTGCAAAGAAATGTATGGGAAGCCGTGAATGTGTCCGAAGAATTTTGATCTTTTTCCGGACACATTCACGGCTGTCCATACATTTCTTTGGAAATTTTAGAATATTTGAAAGGCTGTAACTAGTACTCGCTCACTATTGGAGTGATTCACATAAAATTTTGGAATTTTGCATTTGTCAACAAGGGCTTTCTTTCTATGTAAGTCTTATGTCATGATTCCCAATTAGGGGATTTTGCCCAGTCCCCCACGGTTTGAAATCCGGCAATAGAAAAAAAATGATAATGGTTACTTGGTTCTTACCTGATACGTTAGCAACTTTCAACATGAAGAGCATTAGCCTTTCGCATCTATTTCTATTAATAAACAAACAAACATGCATAGATCAAATCATTATCTGAGAAATTGATCAACGGGCATTCAATGCGGCCGTGTTTTCGATTTTTCAAATATGGAAAATATGCCCAACATTCCCCTGTATTAATTCTTTCTCATCTGTACTTATTATACTTACGTGTTACGATTCGTAGTATCTGGTTGGTATTTTCTATTTAAGCAATACGAAATCATGTATTAATTGATGAATTGAACAAGGGGCCCAGTGCAATTATAATATATAGTCCTATAAGCGTCATCTTGAGCCACAACTCCCGAGGAGGGGGGAATCTCTAATGTAAACAAGGGCGGGAGTCCTCGTCGTCCCTTTTAGGGTTTAAAATCAGTGTTTTGGTCCCGCTTAGGGTAATAATGACTACTATTCCGACAAACTTAGTTTTGTGGTCCATAATTAGATGATTTCAATAATCCAATAAGAGTCGACGGCGTTTGATGCTTGTGCAAAAACACAAATAAATGTTTTCCTATTAAATCAATAAATCAAATTTAAATCAATTAAAATGCGCTAGCAATGACATATCTACCATTTAGGTTAAACTGAATGAGCGGAAACACACTTCTCTACACATATTGAAAATTTCACATTAGAGAATAGTTGAGATTCGCGATCTCTTGTTCGCTGTGTTAAGGCCCGGCCAAACGGTAAATGTTGCGCGATGCAACACCATGCAACATTGTTGCGCGATGCAGCACCATGCAACATTGTTGCGCGGTGCAACATTTTTGGATCATCAAACAAATTTGACGGTGGCCAAACGGTTTGAAACATTGCCGTAAAACATTGCCGGGAAGACTATTATTGTCTACAAAAATACGCATGAGTGCATGAAACATGTTTCATATAACCGGCCAAACAGCAAAACATCGCACGTCAAACACGAGAACAAAAGAAATGTTGCACGGTGTTGCATTGAATGTTTGACGGCCTTCAAACTCCGTGCAACATGTTGCATGCTCCATCGAACAACATCCAACAACATCCAACACCTTCAAACACGGTGGCCAAACGAGAAAATGTTGCATCGCGCAACAATGTTGCATGGTGTTGCATCGTGCAACATTTACCGTTTGGCTGGGCCTTTAGCCTCAATTGTGTGCTAAAATATTCAGAAATGTAGATAAAACTCGTGAGATTTCAAACTATTTCCATTGTCTTCTACACTCACGAATCTCTTGCATTTGCAAGGGCTGCCTTGTGAAAAAAAGAATTTATTACATGGTTTTGAGGCTATGACAGCGTAAAAGAGATCGCTAAAAGGGTTTATTTCCAATTTCGAATTCATTGCGAAAAACCGCTGCTTTATTTGACAACAGATTCTCTTGCTCAAAGACCTGACCAAACACAAAAGAGAGCACGAGAAAATGCTATTATTTTTTGCCGGGTTGAGACCCTGTATTCCCAGAATGACCTATAATAAATGAGTCTTCCGGGAATACAGGGTTAGCCTCAACTCGGGGAAAATGTAGATTGTTAGCGCTATTGTAATAACAACATTTTTTCGTGCTTTCTTTTGTAAGAGAATCTGGTGTCAAATAAAACTGCGCCGTTATTCCGTTTGAATTCGAAAATGCAGTAATGCCACATTATACTTACCTTGAATGGTTCTCAACATTTGAAACTGTTGACGGCGACCTTTGTAAAAAAAAACGGAAACCGGATCAGTACTTGTAGCTAGACGAAATCGCAAGACATCACTGAAAAAAATCGCGCGCTTTAAATGTAGTAAATTTGATGTAAATTTGATGAAGCGTCCAAAATTCTGTAAAATTTGATGGAAATGCTTTCCATTAAATTTAGAGAATTTTGGACACTTACATCAAATTTACATCAAATTTACAACATTTAAAGCGCGCGATTTTTTCCAGTGAATACGATAATGGCGATAATATATACTTTATTTATGGCCCAGTTTTCACCATTATGCTTTGCGCGCCTTGTTATTGTTATGCTTTACACCAAAATACTTCTAGTATCCAAATATCACCATAAAACAAATTGAAAACTCTTATATTAGCATTTAAAGTGCTTAGAAAAGTGAGATGGTCAAAGATTCGAACGACATAGTACAATTTATAGACTGTCGGTAAACTAAAACTGGCGCCTCCAGGCACTCGCAGCCCCCAAAGTATGATGGCGCCTTTAACGTGTCAAAAATATATAGCCCTTTGCCACCTATCTACAAGCGCAAAACTAACTCGCGACACGCAATGCACCGTGAAAAAGCCGTCACTTTTTTTGCGAATCATTTTTTGCGTAATACGTAAGGATTTTGCACTACAACTACGGCTATTTCAAAAAACGTTTAATACTGACAAAGGTTGATGTATTTAAAAGCGCAATGCATTGTTGTGGATCGCATATAAGCCCTATCATATTCAAGTATTCAAGAAAGATCCTAAGGAATAAATTCGGAAAAATTAATTTCCGAACTCGCTGGGTTTGATTCTCCCGGAATTGCCTTTTTCCTAAGCACTATAACTTTCTTTCATTTCTATATCGTGTCTATCATAGTGCCATGCGGCCCTCATATTCATATTATTCAAGTACACGTACTTTGTCGTTTTTGGCCGCTTTGTACTTTTGGTGTCTGCTCGTTTAACGGGCTTGGCATGGCTAAAAATTCAATGAATGTTATTCTAAGTAGAACATGTAGAAGACCTTAGATGAATTAGAAACAGAAGAGGATGAAAGGCGAAAAAGTTGATTTAACAGTAGACGTGAATTTGACTCAGCAGAAGGACGTCAACCTCGTACCAGGGCTTTCTCTTCCTCGCTATTACAAAATGGAGGTCGCGTCCGCCATTTTGTAATAGCGAGGAAGAGAAAGCCCTGGGTACGAGGTTGACGTGAACTCAGTCGAGAAGCAACAACAAGAACAAGCGACTCAAATTAAGAACAAAGCCGAGCCGCTGAGAGGAAGAACAAGAACAAGAAGAAGTGCACATACAACAATAACTAGCTACTGTGGACAAGACGACAAGAAGCCAACGACAAGAAAAAAAGGCATCGAGGAAATGAAAAATACTGGACAAGACAACTTTTCGACAAATGCACGCAGAATGGCAGTTAGAACTGAAGAGGAATTATAACGTTGTCAATAACAACAACAAAAACAAGAGCAAATAAGATCGATGAGAAATAAACTGTGTTAGAGTGCTCGCACTTAAGGCGTAAAACAAATACTACTAAATAGTGTTGATTAGAGTGGTTTTCATTGACCCGTGAAATACACTTTAGCGTATTACACTTTATTACACTTTGTCTCTTAGTTTTGTTTTCTATTATATTTCTTGGCTATTACACTTTAGTACACTTTGACTATTACACTTTGTTTCACGGGTTAATGCAAACCACTCTATACAATAGGAAACAAAGGAATTTGTATAATTTATCACCTATTTTGTAGTATTTTTATTTCACGCATTTAGTGCGAGCAATCTACCAAACAACATAGCACATGTCTGTGAAAAAGAAAAGTTAGGAAGTTTATAGTAAAAAGAAGCAAAAGAAAAAAAGAATAAGGGCAAAAATTCTTTTATTTTACCTGAAGCCATGGACACGGCAGTCAAAAAGGCCAACATCAGAATTATGGAAGCCTTCATCTTGAWTTGCTATTAATTAAAATAATATTTATACAAGGTATGGCTGTGGTCTGGGTTAATTTCGATTCTCGGGCACGGAACATATGTGAGTTTGAGTTTGTTTGATGTGTTGTTCTCTCCCTTGCCACGAGGGTTTTTCTCCGGGTCCTCCGGTTTTCCTCCCTCAGTAAAAATCAAATGTGAAGAGTGTTGTGTCCTAAAATACTTAATGTAGAGGTAGTGAGTGTGAGAGTACAGGGTCCGCAGTAATTGGCTCAGTGTCCCTGCCCATACTAGGGGCAAAGTTAATAAATTTATTAACTTGAATATACGATTGAAACTGTTTTGAGAAAATGCATGTCACTTACCGCGCTAGCTTAGTGAGAACTTTTGAACAAGAGTTTTTCCTCAATAAAACGTGTGGATATACTAAATKGTTCAAAATTCAGATCCTCATTATTGTAATGTATTCAAATGCAGCCTTTTTATTGCTTAGACATGTAGAAAGAAACCTTGAAGTTTTTTATTACCTTTGACAAATGTAGCATTGTGATTTGGCCACGTACAGAGAGGGAATTGTGATATTTCTTATTCATAGAATACAAGCGACAACTGTCCAAAAATGTCCAGTGAAGTTTGGTGGTTCATGATATAACACAATATCAAACCTGAAAACCGTCTAGGGGATCAACTGCAAAGTGAAACGGCCACAAGAAAACTACTGTGTTGACTATTGTATGATACAAATTAAATTATAATTTTGACTCAGACCTTAGATAATATAAACGTCTAATATTAGCCTGCGCGCAGGCGTTCCTCGTTGGGGGCGGAGCCATTCTTCATACCTGTTAACAATTCCTGCAAGTTTGAATTTCAAGAGATATCATCAAGCGCCGAATTTTCAAAATTTTCTAAAGAAATGACCGGGGTGGTTGGCATTATTTTGCTAACCACTGAATGTTTTCTATAGATTTTGTAGTTTTGAAATGCCGATATCTCGAAATGTAAAAAGGCGTTTGCCCTAAAATTTTCAGGTTTTGTTGACATTAATATATTCTTGAATTATAATATGAGTTCAGATTGCTTATTTTTTGAATTTTATATTTTTGATGTAAACAAACTACTTCATCGTACSCCCATACCTATAAAAACAAGGGCTGAGCCAAACGCTAAACTCAATTTTTCCTGTACTAAGTCRCCACTTCYGACACCAAAATGTAACCGACTCCATCCACACACYAYAGCCCAGCTGCCAGACACAGAGYCTTCCYGTATAAAATACGCTACTCAGTCYAAAACGATGGYAAACTGTTTATTGAAACTAAATTCCGCACGACGAGTAAGSCAACTGAAAAATTACGAACTATACCGTTTAAATAAATGGCAAGAAGATASACACCGCTGTGGTCCGACCTGGTGCGGTTCCCAGTCCAGAACCACGTGTAGTTGAGTTTTTAAGCTTTTTTAAACACTACAAAAAGTCAATTTGATAATGCTTTATTAGGTACTTTATTTATTGAATTACATTTAAATGTTTAAAGTGTTTATATATCTCATTGGCGATTTGGAAGGTTATAATCTTCTTTCCTGCAAAAATATAAAATGAGACTTGACAAGGAAGAAAAATTTGCTCGTGTAAATTATGGGGTAAAATGGACAATTTGTTCGCTTTTCCTTAACAAGGAAAAATTGTCAAGGACGAAATTTGCTCGTGTAAATGGACAACAAGGAAAATGTGGCAAGGAAAAGTTGTCAAGGAAAACCTGTTGACCATTCACACGGGCAATTTTTCCTTGTCAAGGAAAATTTGTTCTTCGTTTACATGCACGAGCAAAGAAACATTGTCAAGGAGGAATTGTCAAGGAAAAGTTGTTGACCATTCACACGGACAATTATTTCTTGTCAAGAAACTTGTCAAGGACAAATTGCTCGTGTAAACGGCGCTATAACTAGGAGATTATTTATTCCTGGCCTTACCTTATGTTAGTCAACAAGCAATCAACCGGAGGCCTTGATTTCTAATAAATACAATACATACAATAATAAGGAACTTTGTCTTTTCAAAACACAAAAAAACAATCAATCAAGACAGATCGATCATATGACCGGTGTATCTTAATTGCGAGATCACTGACTGACAAGAAASGCACCGAGCATTCGTCCGTTCTCAAAACGCCATAGCAAAATGGCGGTTAGATCGTACGCGATTATATAGACACCACTGGTAATAATCACTTACGATCGCTTCAACGACCCAGAAATCGTTGGCTATGATACAAATGGAAACTGTACATTCTCTAAGACAATTTAAAAAAAAACAGAGGCAAAAGACCGGTGGCCATGTTGATGGAATGAACAATAGATGTTCAATGAGAAAATGAAGCTCAAACAAAAATGGCCGACCTCTGAGACGTATATATTGCATACGAAGAATAAGACTTCATCATAACATTATCTATGAAATACGCCTAAATTTCGCAACGCTCACTCTGAGAGATCTTTCCAACCCTCCAAGATAAAATACGTGTATCCGCGCGCCCATATAATATCCTCTATTTATCATAKAATCATCTAGAAAATATTTATATTACTCCATTACCTAAAATTGTTATTTTCACTAGTAAAAAAACGTAATTTAAAACATAATTTGCTTTCATTGATAATTATATGATAAACGCAACGCTACGCTCAATCGTGAGAGATCTTTTCAACATTCGAAGATAAAACGGATCTCCGCGCGGCCATGTATATATCCTCTATGTTATACATACGTTGAACGATTTTCAATATTTCACCCACGTCCTCTGAAATCATCAAAAAAGTAGCAAGTTATCAAGACATGAAGGATCTCAGAAGATCGGCTTCCAAATATATACGGGCACTTTTTTCAAAAAACCTTGTCCATGTTATCGTCCCCAGGACACAGTCCACGGCGTTAGAGCCTCAAAGACTCTTTAGACTGCCATATACTTCGATTCAACTAGTTAGAGTACAAACACTAGAGTGGTTTTCATTAACCCGTGAAACAAAGTGTAATAGTCAAAGTGTAATAAAGTGTAATAGCCAAGAAATATAATAGAAAACAAAGGAGACAAAGTGTAATAAAGTGTAATACGCTAAAGTGGATTTCACGGGTTAATGAGAACCACTCTAAAACTGTGCAACATAAATACCACTAAATACTGCTAAATTATGCTAATTCTATTGTTTAATTAAAACTATTTTGTAGTAAATAGTGGAAAGTGTTGCACACATTTAATGTTTTTACTCACTTATTTTCAGGTATTAATTCAAAATTCTTGGCAGTCTTGTATGGAATATAGCTTTCAAGCTCATTGACGGTTTGAACATTTCTCAAGGAAAATGTATTTTGAAATATTTATATACACCTGCCTGCAGAAACGTTGTCATAAAAAATAGGACATTTGTGTTTTAGTAAAAAGGAATAAATTAAAAAGACAAAAGAAGATCACTGAGGCTAAACGCTCTCTTTTGTCTTGTTTTAATTCATTTCTTTTTACTTAATTCAAATGTTTTATTTTCTATGACAACGTTTCTGCAAGTAGGTGTAATTACGCATGGGAATCCCGACATCCTTTGCAGGCTCAAGTCTGAGTTGATTGTGACCTGGCGACGTCAACGTTCTTTTGAAATAGGTGCGTATGGGCCTCATTCAGCGATCGTTACGTCCAAAGTCAATTGATTGAACAAATCAGTAAGAATATGAAAATGGAAGTACATGTACTAGTCTAGGTAGTGTGTGACGTCATCGTAGAAGTCGTCTTTTAATTATTGACAAAAGGTTGTCGTCGATCGGGTTTCACGGAACGCGACTAGCCCGAACTGGTTTCTGGGTAAAAATCAATGACCTGTCAAATTAGAGATTTGAACACCTTTGTGATTGAAAGAATTGGCACATAATGTGTGACAAAATTTTCCAAATCACAGGAATTGAATTATGCATGCATGTGATGTTGATTTTTGCATAGCATACTGTTGTCATCATGGCCGGGAATACAACGTTCAGTGTTTGTTTTCGAGATCAAAAAAAGAGAATAAAAGAATAAAATATGTCATATCTGACGATTGTTGTTGTTAGGTGTTGTTATGCCTACTAATTTGCCAGTTCGTTGATTTTTTACCCAGAAACCTGTTCGGGTGGGTCACGTGCTACGAAGTCCGGTCGACGACAACCTTTTGTCAATCGACTTTATACTTAAAAACTTACTTTCAATAGTTTGAATACGTACGGGCGTCGTATGGTCATCATCTTTTTATCATTGCAAATACAACGAGAAAATGTAGCATTAAAACATAAATACTATCAACACAAGGCAGAACGTAAAGGTCATTCATAGCCGAGTAAATGGTCTCCGATTTCGGAATCCTTTCCAAGGATGCTTTTCCATTAATTAGGCAGAACTGGCCGGCCTATCCGCTCTATTTAGAGGTATATTATGCTATTTTTCAGTCATTTCGAGGTTTTCTATAGAATAATGGATAGAATTTGAAATTTGAATTTCCCAACTACATAGGAAATGAAATATAACGACATTTTCTCTGGGTCTGGCCAGCCAGTTCTGACAAATGGAAAGCGCCCTAAATATAACAACATAACGGATTCTGRTGGCAATATTTGTACGGGGGTGATAACGTAGAAAAAAACGTAGCATTGCTATCTGTACTATAGTTGCAGTGGCGGTAGCTAACGCGAAGTGGTCTGATTTTAAATTGAAACAAACTTACTCAATGGTCCACGTTGTTGTTGCTGATTGTGTTGCAGATGCTGGTCATAGAGCTGTCGCTTGAAAGCTAGAAAAATGTCCGAGAGATTTAGAGCACTAAACGTACTTCAGATGAAAGATCAGAATTCGAGAGTAAGAATAGCAACTAAGAATAAGGAGGAGACAACAACTAGAAAAGACAAGACTAAAGGAAAGGAAGGAAGTTAGAAGAAGAGCAAGGACAGTGCAAGAACATGTGGAACAGAATCTAAAAAATACGAAGACACTTAAGAAAGAAGAAAGGAAGCAAAGTCAAAGGAGTGGAAGGTAAAAGTAGTACAAGAAGAACAAGAAGAACAAGAAGAACAAGAAGAACAAGAAGAACAAGAAGAACAAGAAGAACAAGAAGAACAAGAAGAACAAGAAGAACAAGAAGAACAAGAAGAACGAGAAGAACAAGAACGAGAAGAGCAAGAAGAAACAGACACACCAGACTTATCAAACTTACCTGAAGCAGACATTACAGTCAAAACAAGCAAGCATAGTATTACGGCCTTCATCTTCATTAGCTAGTGAAAAAAAATCAAATATCAGGAATACTTTACCAAAGTATAAATTGTATCAAGTTTCTTCATGGAGAAAATGTAATATTGAATAACTTACCTTTTTTGGAAGCAGAAAAATATGTTTCTTCGCAGGATGATGTCCTTATAGTTTCGGCGTGGCGAAAAGGGTACCAAAAACTTCCCTTCTCATTGTTATAAATTAGAGCTTTTCTATTGGCTAACGATGTATGAGTCGACATTACATTTCTTAAATATCGTTTTTGCCTTGTGTTGTCATAAAAATGTGTTAAAGATATTGATATGTAGCTTCGTAATTGGCTAGTAACGTTAACGGTCCATTCCACCCAATCTCGAAGATATCATTTATTGATAAAATAACATAAACATCGAAGACTTTTTCGGTGAATAGTGCATGTTGGTGGTGCAGTCATAAAGCTAAACAAAGGATTTGACAGGSGTGCTTCACAACAATAAGGTACCAAAAAGTATTTACAGATTACGTGCCAAAGAAAACGCACCGAGATCARGTGAGAAATAAAAAAAAGTTACACAAATTTAAGTATCAATTATCTTTAGAAGTTAAGTCATTCGATGTGACGTTTATATATATTTAAAGGTTACAAAAAACCTGTCAGACTCAAGTCGATCCTTCAGTCTAAAAAGGCAGTTACAGCTAAATTTTTATTATTTATCATTTATTTTCCTTCAAGGAAACTGGTGCAAATTCCCAGTAGACACACTTAATGACAAGACACTAAAAGTATGAAATACTTAATAAAAAATCGCGCTAATAGTGTTACCGGCTATGTAATAAATCGCTTTTTTATTGACAAATTAACACCTTGTAGCAATATATTATTTAGCACTATTCGGTTTGAGCGATTTTTATAAACCCTTGAATGACAAAACATAAGTCAAAGTGTAAAGAWAAAGAAAARGACTGGCAAAGTTTACTACTTTTTGCAATAGAGGGAGCTCATTAAACCCGTGATAACAAAAAAATATTGACTAATAAAGTGTGGTGGTCAAATAGACATAACAGTATGTTAGGGTAATATAACGGAGTGTTTGACTTTGCTCGAATCTGTGAAACAAAGTAGATGTTTGCTAAATTAATAGCGACTCCTTTTTTTACTCTTATATAAACCAATTATTTGTTTTTTACAAATTATAAAGGGACATTCAATGCGGCCGTGTTTAAGCTTTTTCTTATATGGAAAATGAGGTGACTTCAATATCTATATTCGTAACGCAATCCGTTTCCATCACGTTTCCATCCATCGGTTGAAAGATTGAATCTTATAATGTTACAATATCCCCATTCATATAGTATAAAGGGATAATAAAGAGTAAGTTTTTGTTTATATTCCGAGTGCACTTTTATTATCAAACATGAATAAGACGTAGAAAAGCTCGAAAGGGATGCCGGTTGCTCATGGCTTTGAAGATGTCAAAGCTATCGGCGAGATTTGTAGACAAGTTTAAAGTGATAATTGGATTAGTTCATGATATATTTTCAGATATTTTAGTTTCAAAGTCATTTAAATCTGATTCATAAATACGTAATGAAACAAAACGGTTGGTCACAAGTTTCCGAAAATTTGCCTGCACGTCCGGGTGGTCTAGTCACCAAGACAAGTATCAGCTAAATGCTATTCTCTTTGTTTYGATAAACGGCTTATTAGCTTTTACATTAAAAAACGAATTGAAATATTCTCATCAAGTCATTTAGTTTGTAAGTTTCTACTCTCGATAAAAATCTAAAATATATCCAGAATGCAACAGTTATACCGGGTGCATYATGGGGGAATTCCACGTGATTTTCGTTCTTTTCTCTCTACGATTAACACTGGAAAAAATCGCGCGCTTTAAAGGTTGTAAATTTGATGTAAATATGATGTAAGTTTCCAAAATTCTGTAAATTTAATGGAAATCATTTACATCAAATTTACAGAATTTTGGACACTTACATTACATCATATTTACATCAAAATTACAACCTTTAAAGCGCACGATTTTTTCCAGTGTAAGATCGAAAGAAATTACACTTCTTTGGGCCCTTTGGGGCTATTCAAACATACTCTGCAGTTTAGACAAATAAAAGGCTTTTTTTGAAGCTTCAGTTACCCTATATATACGTCTACATTTTATCATTTTAGTTGAATAGCATATCTATTTATGCACATCGTCAGTCAGACTAAAAATCGCAAGTAAACTTCATTAAAAATCCGGCAATATCTGTTGATCTTCAATTGCAATAACAGCAAGTAACCTAAAATAGAAAACGACAAGGTTGAAAGCTCAAGTGAGGCTTATGTCAATAGTACTTTGCTATTGTGCTGTGCTCTAATAACCCGCAAATAAGGAGACAGTCTACCTGTGCTTTAAGAATCACTACAGGCTATATTTTCTCTTTAGGCACCTGTTGAACAAGAACCACTAGCCAAAGGAATTAGCCGGACTGGTTATAGCTGTAAGCATTACTGAGAAAATATTTTTCCATGTTTCTATTCAGTGACAAAGACACAAGATGTTGTGTGTGGAATCACGACTTTGTTCCTCCAGTAATCCATGAAAAGCATGAAATTCCATTCAATGGTTGCGTCATTTTATGATTTTTGTTTAAAAGGTGTCAAATTCACTTAATTTTTCAAAATGAAGGTTGAGGCTATGAAGAGCACTCTAAAGTTTTGTGTGGCTTTTAGGAACTATGACGGAACAAGTGCGAGCAATGTATTTACGTCGGCCTTTACGGCCATTTTCTGTTAATAGAATATAGTAAGAAAAGCCGAAAAAGAAGGAAGAAGAAGAAGAAGAAGAAGAAGAAGAAGAAGAAGAAGAAGAAGAAGAAGAAGAAGAAGAAGAAGAAGAAGAAGAAGAAGAAGAAGAAGAAGAAGAAGAAGAAGAAGAAGGGTCGTCGCCATTGTTGATTTAAGGGAATTGAACGCTCTTCCCAACACGAAAGCTGCCAAACTGCATCAGTTTTCCTAAAGTTTTCCTTAAGGCCCAGTGTAAATTTTTCAACTAGATTAGTTTTAACTAAACTGGTGTAATTTTACTTTTAAACGTTCTTTAAATAAATTATTATCATTATCATTAGATTTTATAGTGTTTTATTTTCGATTTTTAGGCTTTAAAGTTAAAGATAAATTAGTAGTCGACTGTTATGTTTTTAATTTGTATCTATACATTCATTATTACTATTATTGTAAATATTTATCTTACTCTTTTATTATTACTATTATTTTTACTAACCAATAAAGTTTCTATTATTATTAAACAAAATTCGTACTCTAGTTCGCAGTATTTCTCTGATTGCACTTAGGTCTTTTGAAGGAATCACTAGTCTCAAACCGGGGCCACCTATCTCACAATTTAGATTGAAAACAAAGGATTCAGACCGCAGGAAACCTCATTTCATTAAGCTTTATTCCCTTGCAATATCACTGATCATCATTTTTTAGCTTTTAAGGCCGAAAGTGTGATTATTTTACATCTAAGTGTCCCGGACACTGGTGAAAAACGCACGTGCATGTTCACAGCTTTCCCGCCAGTGGGCGCTCGCGTCTTGAAATCTGCCTAATTTTTATATGTAATAGGACTCCATGCTGTCCAATTAAGAAATAATTGGACGAGGAAAATTCCGAGGACTGCCAAAAATTGGACGAGGCCGTGGCCGAGTCCAATTTGGCAGTCAGAGGAATTTTTCGAGTCTAATTATTTCTTAATTGGACAGTATGGAGTCTTATTACCTATTAATTATATAGCCACATATTGATCCCAAATAGGTAAAAGCCAACCACAGCTTTTAACAAAAACCCAATTGAAAACCTGTCCAATTAATTTCTTAATTGGACAGGATTCCAAAATTAACGAAAAATCCAGCTTTTACCTATTTGGGATTAATATGTGGCTATATAATTAATTTGTAAACATCTTGTAAACAGCGATTTTTGTGAAAGTTTTTTACAATTTACACGGCTCGTTAATAAGATTCATATTTCCATCAATCCTTGCTCATGATAGGTTCTTTTAGTATGTAGTTTCTATTTTTATCTTGTCATTTCTATTTTRAGAAAATGAGGTTTTTCGTAGTTTTTTCTGTGTTAAATTAGGCAGATTTCAAGACGCGCTCGCTCACTGGCGGGAAAGCTGTGGACATGCGCAGTGTGTTTTTCACCAGTGTCGGTGGCCCGGCGGTTTAGCCGCACTGCTGCCGTACTGTAAATTGAATAGAGTAATCAGTATTATGCAAACATCACAACACAACTAAGACACTTCTAGCTTTTTTGAACATATCATTGACGTTATTGATCTTACTACTAATACGACCGTCATATTCAATTATGACGAAACTCATCAAGAGATATTCAAGGGTCAAAGTCTCACGCATTGTTGTAAAGAATATATAGCAAAACCTTCTCTGGTCTAGGGCTTGAAAATATTAAATTGCGCTCTCATGCACTCACTCATTTTATGATATATTTTATTTTTATATAGTTTTTTGTCTAAGATAGGGTATAGTCTCATTGCCTGGGGTAGGTGTAGTTTTGTCTGTGATTGTATCTGCTAGGCCACGCTTTCAGGAGGGTCTTAATGGGGTGGTACGCATCACGACTCACGGCTAAAAAATTGGCGATTTCACGACTGCGGCTAATTTTTCAGCCGTTTCTCTCACGGTCAACCCCATTGAGACGCTCTTTCAGCGCTAAAATAATGTACCTTTGTACCTTTAGTCTAGGGTATGTAAAATCACAAAAATTGGTCTGGGATAGGGTAAGGGTTTGGAGGGTCGTGCGGCACACCCCCACCCAAGTTGGGGAGGGAGTGCCCCCCGGGATGATATAACATCGACTTTATCATCCTACAGTTCACTACCAGCGCCATCTTAAAAGGTAGCCGACTGCTGAAGTTGAGCCTGCAATGATAGAAGAATAGTCGCCTTGCATTTTTATATTTCCCTAAAATCTTATTTACTGATCACAAAATCTGATATTTTTCCTTCACTTCACTTTGCTCGCCACTCGCCCGTGCATTCAAGAAAACACACAGACAAAACAAGAAAAACAAAAAAGAATTTGTGTAGCTAGCGCGGCTTACTGAAGAAGATGGGGTCCGCGGTGCATCTTGGTATTCACATGACGTCACAACGGACACAGTGGCACTAGCCTGCAAAAAGTAGATTTCTATAATACTATATATTTCTATGGTGCTACATCATTATTTCTTTATTTCTCAAGGTAGTTTTGATGATGGGAAAACCACCAAACACTGCATCTTTTGATTGCCGAAAAGTAACATGACTATTTATGAGGTTCTAGGTGTGGCAAGTATTTTCAGCAAAACCCTCGGAAAAGATGGCGCCGTTCGAGACGTCGAAAATCTCTAAAAAATTCTAATCACAACTAAATCTAAAAAGAGATTTCCGCGTATCAGTGAAAATACCTCCCCTAAGGTTAACCCAAGTGGCCTAATATTTAAAATCAAAGGTCTTATATTTAACCGATAAATTTCCCTCCACTTTCGCCCAGGATGTGGTTATGGATTTAGTGTCATGTTTTTGACAGTATCTTGGTTCTCTGAGGTATTTGCGTTAGGTATTAGAGAAGGGATTAAGACTTAGAAGACCTCTAGAAGGAAGTATTTCAAGAGAATTTAAGACATTGATTGACATATAATCTAGACGTTTCGAGATTGTAGTCTAAGAATAGCTGAAAGAGACCTTACTCTTGGGAACTGGAAAAACTAAGGATGAAAAAATTACAGTTTTAGACATAAATGGCGTAATAAAAAGGAAATTCATAGTTAAACGTTTTCAGGAATTTGGCTTTAAAAACTGGGATTTTTTTTTCTCCTCGCTAAAAGGCTGGTTATTTCTCTCTGATCAGTTCCTTTTTTTAACAATTCACTCTATATTTGACACAACTGGTTCTCTGCCTTGTCTTGCAGCTTCGGTTTAATAATTTTTGCTTTGTTTTTCTTTTGCGCGAAAAAATGGATWAAAATGTAGCAAATAAATATGTAAACAAATAAATAGGTAGATTAAATGATCAAATATAACTTTTACAATAATTAAAACTATGTATTATGATTATAAAAAAGATAAAAATAGACTGAATCCAATCACAATGATTTCCAAAGCAAGTTTTTGAATTTTTCGTCTGTTCATGAAAAAACTACAACAAAAATCAGGKTCTAAACTATCCACAATAGTGTCCAAAATGGCGCCAATTTCAGAATAAGAGCATTTCAATGGCTTATGCTTGTAATTATTGGCTAACAAAGCAATGATTGACATGTTAAACTGTCCTGAAACAAAAGCCCCAGCTTCCTTTGTTAAATTCGCAATTTGATTGGCTATTTAAATGAAAGTAAATTAGCACTTACAATAACTACATTTTGACAGCTTGCCAAGCGAAGAGCTCAACTCGTTGTCAAAAATTTCGCTTTATTTCCGACACTTAGTTTGAAGAATTGCTCTAATGTCAATTTTGGGACTTTGCTCGAGTTACGTGATGCACTTTGAGCACGTTTTTGATCCCAAACTCACAGAATAAACTTCATGTCAAAATCCCAACCAATTATCGTAAAGTAGGTCACATGTTACTAATACTGTAACATGATTGGCTGASTTAGTTCGGGTCTATACAATGGACCCTTCGTACGCCCGAGTTGCTTTGCTGTTTTGTATTTGAACATTGTCTTTCTATAAGGTATTATGGTGAAAATTTGGACTATTTCTTCGGTTTTAGTCGCTCTTGATCGGCATTTCTGATGTATCACTTAGCAAAGGGTTGACTGAGGATGCAATCTAGCGTATTTTTGCTGTTATGTTTCATAAATTCAGCGAGCTTTACTTCAGGTAAGCGAATGGTTTGTATCTTGTAATGGCGTTGTTGCGTTTGGTTTGTCTTGATATTGGGTACTGGTCTTCCTGTACGAAATCCATGGCTTACTTTTCGATCTGAGTKCTTTTATTGATGTAAGAAGTTGTTATGGTCTTTCAGTGTACGCTCTTATTCAAAGATCATGCAATTTGCTGCCTCAAAACCCCCCGTTGATACTCCAACATAGGGTAGATCTCAAGCCACCTCTCAGCTCGTAAAAAACAAAGCTTGCCATCACTCAACATTTAATGGCTACTTTGTATTCTTCTTTATAAATCAACCCTAAACGTATTCTTATTCGATGTCTGTAACGTCCATCGAGCTCCCGTGATTTCCTTAAGTATTATTTACGTTACAAACTTGCTAAGATATGCGGGAACTCTGATTTCAAATCTGTTCGAAAAATATTTTCGCTAACTTGAGCCATAGGCACGTGGTAGTTCCTCTTATAATTTTCTTCGTGGTTTAGAATTGATCGTTATTCTCTTTGACAAAATATCTTTATAACATTATACTTACAATATCTGAGATATAATAAATCTCGAGCAATGCTGAAAGATCTCTAGCCTCCACTCTTGTGCTGACTTATAAMATTTCAGCACGGAATTCCTGGTATACAATCCCAAAGCTGTTTCTTGTTGTTTTTAAAGTTATGTTAGRGCATTCCCAATAAAAACAACTAAAGTTTCTATTCCCGGGGTTGCTAAGTTCGTTAATCAACTTTTTTTCACGTTTGAAGTATTTTTGTTTACCTTGAATTTTACAAATCCTCTTTCGAACAGTGACTGAGTTCTGCGTACAAATTTCTTCTAGTTTGACATGCATTTTGTAATTGCTACGACATTGGAAAAGAATTTTATTCAAAGTGAATTGCTGTGGTGTAGTTGTTTTGTAAAATACTACAATATTTACATTTTATATCCAGTTTCAACCACTGCGTTATATAAATTCGGTGCGGTGAAAGCTTAAAAATGAACTTTTTTGTTTTGAGTTGTCTGGTTTCACGCTGGCCTTCTCAATAGCGTTAATCACTAGGAACTTACATAGTCTCTCGTCAAGAACTATTATAATCTCATTTTCTAATATCAATTTTTTTGTGACAGCGTCTTCGCCAAGGTTGATTTTCGCCAATCGACGAGACATTCGCATTCTGCGACCCACGAAAGATGGAAAAGGGAATGAGACTGTTATCGTTAGAGGACTAGAGGATGCTATTGCATTGGACTTTGACTACAAACAAAAGATCGTGTTCTGGACTGATGTTAGCGAAGAGAAAATCAAAAGCACTGTGYTAGGCAGTGGAAATATCAGCAATGTTGTATCAGTGGGCTTGAGACGTCCAGAAGGTCTTGCGGTYGATTGGACTAGTCAAAAAATATACTGGACAGACTCAGGAATCGAAACAAATAGAATCGAAGTCGCAAATTATGATGGAAAACATAGAAAAGTTTTATTTTGGCAAAATTTGGATCAGCCAAGAGCAATTGCTGTGGATCCACGTTCAGGGTAAGTTGAAGTATTGCGTGCATTTACATTTCGTCTGATTGCTTCGATTTGAGTGTACGTGAAATCAACAAATGGGATTCGATTTCGGGGATTCCTATTGATCATTGCTTCGAGAAGGTTTCTTMACTTGAAATTGACATAACGCGTTCGATTCCGTGCGTTTGGCAAACCTAATTATCAAGTTGTTGTTCAGAAATGCTCACAGTTCAAACTGTGTTCAACTCGGGTTTATTGTTCTAAACGCGTACGTGCTAGCATGATGTTAAATTTCCCTTAAAAAGCGTTTTTTACTGTAGGTAAATGAACAGAATGYTGTTATTTGCTTTGAAATTTTAATACAGAATGTTGAAGTGAATGTTATTAATCCCTGGCTTTCAACCTGGTGTGAACTTGCAATCAACACATCTCTTACACTAGTTTAATGATGAGCTGAGTCCTGATTTCAGTGTGTGAATTATACAAATAACAATGAGGGTCTCAAAGGCGTATTACCGTGAACCCAAACCATCTGCTCATATCTCAACTCTCGATCCACCAAACATCTACCTTCATCYAATAAGAATACCCTCAAAAASCAACATTTCACKTCTCGAATACAATGTTTAGTATCAATGAAAACGTGCTTTTTGCTCTTTTTCTTCTTCTACTTTGAAAAAAACCTGACAAGTCATAAAACCATTAGCAAAGTTTTAATAATGTGTTATTTTGATTTGAAGACCAATAGGTTTTTGTCATGGTAAATAATTGAAACAATAGCACTTACTTAAGGTTTGGTTGTGGACCAAATCTATTGAATGGAGGGTTAATTAGGTCCTCCCTCCACTGAACACTGTATTGTATTTACTACCTACTCAAAGCACAACTGTTTGCAAGAGATTTTGCTAAAATYTAACTTAATGTCAGTTGATGTTTTAGGTTTTCTTCATATTTACAATATTTCAAACATAACTTTTTTGGAAGGTTAACTGTTTGTCTTTTCAGCTATGTTTTACTCTTACTGTTTATAGCAGGTCTAGCTCCTCAAAGTAACTTCTTTTTAAGTAACTTCAGTTTACGTTTAACATTTTCTTCATTATTTAAGTCATTTCAAACAGAACTTTTAAAAAAAGTCAAACTGTTCTTCTTTTCAGCTGCTTTTCACGCAATACCATATAGTGCTTTTTATAGCAGGTTTAGCTCCTTGAATTCCTTTACTAACTGTCAGTTTATGTTTTCTTCATATTTTTAAAGTCATTTCAATCAGAACTTTTTTAAAAAAGTCAAGCTGATTCTTCTTTTCAGCTGCTTCTTACAAATACTGTAAAAGTGCCTTTTATAGCAGGTTTAGCTCCTTCCAATTTTCCATACAATACAATACACAACTAGAATCCGATACATAAATGAACTTTACACTTGCTATTATAAAAAATAGTTTAAGTAAAAAAGAGGAAGGCACAACAAGCAAATATGCAACAGCTCCTTGAATTCCTGAACTTGGTTTTAGTTTGTTTTATAATTTCTTCATTATAAACGTTCATCTTTTTAACCACATTTTACTCAAAGAAGCACTGTGTATACTGAATTCATTTTATTCTAATACTTCATATTGTTTTTTAAAAAAACGTTTAGCTTTGTACATGTTAGACTTTTCAGACAAAAGACAGAACTACATGTAGCTCATAAGCATGGTTTATTTTGAGTTTTAGTTTATCATTTTATTATTTCAGTTTATACACTATTTTTATTGGCTCTTTTTTTGTCAAATTCTTTTCTTAACTAAATTTTTATACTTTGTGTTTAAATKTATGTTTTCTTTATAATGTTTTAGACATTGCTTTATTAAAAGTAAACTTYTTAAGCCCTTTAACAGTGAAAAATTGTTTGGACAGACAGAACTAGGTTATAAGCACAGTTGAGTGGAGGTTTTATTCATCAAATGTTTTATCAATGTTCTATAGTCAGTTTTTCATGTGAAAACTTCTCTTCAATTTACTGTATACTACAATGTTAACAGAGTGCACCCAAATATTATGGAAGATATTGATTTTCAATGGCATTGGCCTTTTGAAAGTAACTAAATACATGTAATATCTTCAATTATGATTTGTCTAGTAAATGTCTAATACATTTACATTCATTAACTTTCTACTGTGATTTCAACAAATGTCTTCAGCAACTTATTACTAAGGCAAACCACAACTGTCTATCACCTATCAAATTTGACATATCTGTCAATCAATTGTCACAACTTCACCAAATTGCTTACAACACTCCTCTCTCAAAGGCAAATTAATGAACTCTAAATACCAATTCACCGTTTGTTTTAAAATGTTTTGAGGGAAAAGTCCTTAAAAAGTACCGAGTTTTGACTGACATAAGCATAAATGCCAAAAAAGGAAATCCAGTTTGACAACACTATGTCATATACATGCACTGTACCAATACTAACAGCATAAAATGTGTAGGAAAACAGCAGTATAACTTATTGGATTAGACCTCATATAGTGTCTCAAGTAGACATTATGACAACTTAATCATCTTATCTAAGAAACTATATAAAACACTGACATGTTTCTTGATGTGGTATACAATATAATGACAATATTGCTTTGTCTTAATATTAAGTGACGTAAACTTATATCTATATGGACAAGTGGTTAAAGGATTAAAAAAAGAGTATGAGAAAGATAGATAGATTTATTAGAGGGATTCTTGGATGAAAATTGCTAAACATTAGAAAAGACTTGGAAATCAAATAGAACTATCCATGTGGGTCTAATAATCATGAAGCAACAGATTTCAAGAAGATATTGATACAAATCCTTAATAATTTGGGCAAAAAATGTTGGAGTAGATGACGTCATTTACTCCATCCTTTTGTTCTTCCATCTTTTGAGTCAAAATTTCTCTGATGTGGGACAATTCCAAAACAAATATTTTTCCGCAATTGTTTTTAACAGATACAAATGAGTCATATATTTGTATTGCCTGAAGTTTTGAAATAAGGCCATTTTCATGCAAGTAGCACTTTAAAAACTCTACATTGCAGTTGTACACTGAATTTCGTAGTTATTTACAATATTGCCGATTTAGAATAAATAAATATCTAAAAAAACTACTATACAATTTACTCTATTAATAATTCAATAATAAAGGTTAACATTTAAATTAAATGCTAAAATAAAATTCCAATAAGTTGGATTGCTTGGAAATATAGAAACCATTTCAAAATAAATGATTCTGAAAAACATTTAAGGTCTTTGCAACCAGTACTCTAGATACTTTCTGATGTTAGACTAAGACTGTACAAATTGTCTTATGATATTAACTCTTAGTCATGCCCATCTTTCACGATCAAATAAAAATGATTTCAAAAAAGTTCACTTACGATAATTAATACTTAAAATTTAAGATATTTGAGAAAATTTAAGATATTTTGGAAAATTTATGATATTTTTGCAAAATATAAGATATTTTTGAAAAATTTAAGATATTTTGGAATATACATTGTTATCAGTGAATAAAAAAAGTCAGAGGCAGTGATTCTCAACATTCAAATTATAATRAATATAGKTTKATAATCTGTCAGTGTTATTGAGCAGTGTTGGACTAATCTTATCATGGTTCCATTATCCTTCGTAAGACATGCAATCCGCTTATGATTTGAACCTATAAATTCCTTGAAAGAACAGAMCAACACTGTATTATGTGTGGGCTTAATAACATAAGTATCTCTTACCTGTCTGAACCAAACCCTTGGTGGTTTGTACAGAATTTGTGTGGAGTGCGTATTTCTTAAAGGGCTACTTGGACGAAAATTGCAAAACATTAGAAAAGACTTGGAAATCAAATAGAACTATCCATATGGGTCTAATAACCATGAAGCANAAGTGAGTTTGAAATAGCCCTTTTAGTGGTTAGAAAACAAGTTGCACAAGGGCTCAGTATTTTTGCACCAGACGGAGGGCAAAATCGGGAAACAACCCAAAAACTTGTCCTTTTTAAGCTCATTATGTTTGGAAAATAATTTTGTTGGTAAAAAGAGTCATAATATAGATATGACTCTGGACTTTTGTTCATTTGGATGCTGCAGCAAACAAATTACGCACTTTGGTTTTAACAGAAAAAAGACCTATTATACTGTAGATACCTGTGAATATTTTTTGTACACATGTGTAAATGTGAAAGGTTTCTATCACTGCATGCTCAATGGTTGTCTTACTTTGCTGTAAAGACCTGGCTACCTTTAGATTGTACAGAGACCCGTGAAGCAAGGTCTTATATAAAAGTATTACATAGTTTTCACATGTGTACTAAATTGAATGAATTAATAATAAATATGTTTGTTCATAGGTCGGCGATATTGCTCAAAGAACAATGGRGGATGTAGTCATTTGTGTCTTCTMTCACCCAAGGGCTATTCCTGTGCATGCCCAACAGGTGTTCAGCTTCTTTCAGACAAGAAAACTTGTGAACAAGGTGGGATTATAAATCATAGTGTATATATATGCTATCAAAGAGGCAAGATTTTGCTGTAACGCCGAGTTTTTTTTTTAGCGAGAATTACAGCAAAATCTTGCCTCTTTGATATCATATATATAACTAGCTCTACACTTTATGTGTATTGAGCACTCTTTAATGGTATCAGCCACTTCCTCATACGATTAATTCATAGTGTAATGACACAAAACACCATTGGGATTCTCTAACACACTTGGTTTAATTCTTGCACACTAAATATCTGATTAGAGGGCATTTGCACTCTTCTGACACTATTATATCTTGCTTTTTTGATATTTTTATTTTCAGAAAGTTTTACATGTTATTTAGAATGTGTTTGAAAATAAAAAAAATTGTACCTTTTTGGGGGGTTTCTCCAATTGACATATTACTGATATTTTAAAAATGCACAAAAACCCATATGTCAAGAATCTTTCAATTTAAAGAGAATCACTATATGACTCAAAACCAAGCTCAAATTGTATTAACTAGACAAAACCAGATGAAAAGATAATTATGTTTCTAAAGAAAACCAAAGAAATCAACCATTTTTTGTCATAATCATACCCTACAATGCATTGCTTATAATATGGTATATATTGTAAAAGCTTCAAAGGTCTATTGACCAATAACATATTTATCTTGATACACCATTGTTTTTGAATCAAGATACATGTTTTCTCACCTGTACTGTAYCTCAGTTCATTGACTCCATTCTTGTTTCTCAACAGGACCTCAACATTTTCTTTTGCTGGCCAGAAGAACAGATCTCCGCCGCATCTCTCTTGACACCCCTGATCACACTGATGTTGTATTGCCAATAACTGGGATAAAACACGGAATGGCAGTGGACTTCGACCCTGTGGATAAGTATGTTTATTGGAGTGATGATAACCATGACAACATCAAAAGAGCAAGGCTTGACGGCACAGGTATTGTATAAAATACTGTCACTCTTACACAAATGTGGAATTAAAGGAATGTGGTCAACCAGCATCCTTTGCAAACTTTTGTTTATGTTTGGAAATGAAAGTACATTATAAAATGTAAACACAAAAGCGTGAAATAGTACTAAACAAATAATGTAGATTAAACAATTGAAGACAAAGGGTTTTGCATAATTCAGTTAGAGTTTAGCTCTAAATTATAACCATAGAGTATTTCATAGACCTTTACTGAGATTGCATTGTGGTCTACATTGGGTACAAACATCTCTTGTTAATACTGCCAAATATGGCTTTTTGGACTGAATCTAGACCACAATGCACTATGGTTTTGAGTTTTTGTTTTTGTCTCGCAATTGCCGACTTTTAAAATTTCGGTTTACTAACTGCACACACAAGAATTGAAGACGAGGCTTCGGGAAAACATTACAATATTCTTTTTGTTTTCTCTGAGCTCTTCCTCAATTCTTTTGTGTATGACCATTCAACCAAAATATCGAAAGTGGAGTTGACCGAAATGATGCCTGATAGAGGAGACTAAGTGTCAACTAGTTGACAATGGCCGTTTGATGCAAGACGTATTTTTGTGATCAGGATTTAACAATGTTTTCTTATATTTGTCTCAGATCGGGAAGTTGTAGCAACAATAGAAGTAGAAAATCCTGATGGGATAGCTGTGGACTGGATTGCGAGGAATCTGTACTGGACGGACACAGGGATGGACAGAATAGAAGTTAGTCACTTGAATGGTTCTTCACGAAGAGTGCTGATTAAAGATGGTTTGAAGGAACCTAGAGCTATTGTTGTTGATCCAGGGAGGGGGTAAGTCAGCCATCGTTATTTTCACAATACCTTCAATGTATCTTTCGCATAGGTCAATTGAAACCCCGGCCCCCAAACCCTGGAGGGCCTGGTATTGAACACATCATAGCCCGGCCGAGATTTAACACTGTTTATCAACTGGAAAGCGAGGGAATTAACGTCCGAGTCAAAGGAAATGAACTATTTAGTCGCCTTTTTTGGCCTCTAAGGGACGGAAAATGCTTGGGTTTTAACGTTGTCGAAATGTTAATTCTCCTGGGGGGAGGGGTGGGGGTTGATGGTTTCAAATGATTGCTGTAATATTTTAAAACTACCGCAAGAGTGAAAATATTGACACTATTATAGACATTATTTTGCAATTCGCGAATTATTTTGCCAAAACAATTAAGCCAGGCTCCTTCAATGTTTCCACTGGCATTCCTTGTGAGATTTTGTAAATGTTTTAAACTAAAAGTACATCGTAAAACAAGCAAAAACTTACCCTTCGTTCTCCATTTATGCTCTATGAATGGAGATATTGTAAGATTCGATTTTAAATCGACGGATGGAAACGGATTTGGAGTGGATAGTTGAAGGCTCTTCTTCAAGTTCTTCGCATCATAAACATTCTAAAACACGACCGCATTGAATGCTGGTTGTAATAATAATAATATATATTAATTAATAATAATGTTCTTACGGACGCATTTGCATAGCTAATTGCATTTATTACAAATTTACCCGGGAGAGGATTTGTGAAAATATGTAAACACAAAGGAAATAGAAATTAAGAATAGAGATACATTTTTCAAACTTTTAAAATAAATGTTTTGAGCGCTGATTTGTAAAATAGTCCTAAGTTTTTGAGATTAGATGTGTTCAGATAGGCAGTTCCAGAGTTTTGAAAAAGTTTGAAAACGCGGTTTTAGAAGTAGGCGATTTGAAGAACGAAGTTAACAAACGCGTAGGGTGATGTTTTTCCGTTGACCATGGCTATTAAATTGATTAATATCAATTAAATAACTTTGTCTTCATGATTTTTTTCCCAGATATCTCTTCTGGACAGACTGGGGAAAAAATGCTAAAATTGAGCGAGCAGACCTTGATGGAAGCAACCGAGTTGTCCTAGTAAACACGTCAGTCAATTGGCCCAACGGTCTCGCTATAGATTACAAAGAAAAGAAGCTTTATTGGGCTGATGCAAAGCTTGATAAAATAGAAGTGATGGATTTTAATGGGAAACACCGCAGAATAATCGTTGATAAGCAACTTCCTCACGTCTTTGGGTTGACATTGCTTGGTGATAATGTTTACTGGACTGATTGGCAGACCAGGACTATTGCTATGGTCAATAAACGAACTGGAAAAGGGAGAAAGAAAATCATCGATCAGCTGCCTGATCTGATGGGAATAAAAGCTGTGAATCTTACCATTTCATACGGTATGTGTATAGATGTTGTTAAGGTGTCCTTGAAGAGTTACATATATAGGCTTATTTTCCAGCTGCGTTACTTTTAGGAACCAATCCTTGTCAGAAAACTAACGGCGGATGTAGCCACCTATGTCTGTATACTCCTAGGGGGGTAGTGTGTGGCTGCCCTACTGGTATGGAACTTCTAAAAGACCAACGGACTTGTATAGGTATGTAATATTGTATAGTGACAATCCAGCATAATGTACACAGCAATTATCATGCAACCAAAGTTAAAGAATCACAAACAACCGCCGTACCTTGCGAGCCGAAGCGCCATTTTGGGTGCACACGAATATGGCGGATTCGTAGGATTTCTTAAAGTGAGCGCGAATCGTCTTCCATCCTTTCAGTTTGGACAGAAATACCTTTAACTAAGTACCTCATAGGTACAATGTACTATCAATCTATAATCTATTGTATGCTTGACACATTTAAACGTATGTAAACAATAACACGAGCGCGCGCTGTATTGTGGTCGGTTGAGATTCTTGCAATGTGCAGCCCTCTATCCCCAGGCTCTCTCTTGGTCCATGTCTTTTAGCTGTTTTGTGGATATTGTACATAAAAAAAATAAATAAATGCAGTACCTTTTAGTCATGTGTACGTTCTTCTTCTTTAGTTCCAGAAGCCTTTTTGCTGTTTTCGGGAAGCAGAGAAATCCACCGTCTCTCTCTGGACACGTACAGCGGTGACAGGAAAGTCCCAATCATGGGAGTCAAAGACGCTAGTGCTCTGGACTTCAGCATAAAAGACAGACGCATTTACTGGACAGATACCACATTAAAACAAATCAACCGCGCTTTCTTAAACGGAAGTGAAAACGAAAGACTCATCAGTGTCGATCTTGGCTACCCGGAGGGCATTGCAGTCGACTGGATTGCAAACAATCTGTACTGGTCTGACGCAAAGAGGCATAAAATTGAGGTTGCAAGGCTTGATGGGAAGCATCGTAGAACTCTTATTTATAAAGATATTTGGGAACCTAAGTCGTTGACTCTTGACCCTTTGAATGGGTAAGTTAGGGGTCTTTATGTGCATGTTAATGTAGGGTGGTTTCATTTGAATGTTGTGACCTCTTATTCGATAAAAATGGCGGTTCTGTCCAGCTACGCTCACTAGTTAAAAATCTTTTCAAAACGCGAAAACAAAATCCGRGGCTTTTCTCGATGTATACAACACAGGGTTCCCAAAGGGTTAGGTTTAGGRTAAGGGATAGGGTTAGGTTATATTGARGTATATAGAGCGTATAATGAGTGTTGTATRCATTGAGAAAGAGCCAAAATCCGTATCTCCGCGCGMCYATGTAATATCCTCTATTTATCTCACAAATACCTTCGTAATAATTCATTTTATCAGGCATCTTTATTGGGTGAATGGTGGTAACCAAGCAAGCATCGAGCGGTCTGACTTAGATGGAACTAACCGTACCATAATCATAAAGAAAAACTTAAAGAAACCYATGGACATAGCGCTTGACTACAAAGAGTCCCTACTCTACTGGGTTGACGGCGAGAAAAAGATTATAGAGTGCTCAGACCTCAAYGGRCATAAYAGACGCGTCGTCGTGCGATCYYTACCAAGTCCGTACGCGYTSACACAGTATGAYGGGTATATCTAYTGGTCTGACTGGGAGACYAAYGCGATAGAGAGAGCGAATAAGTCGACTGGAATGAACAGRACGAGAATCAGTGGGAATGTGGACTTTGTTATGGATATTGTTGTRTTTCATGCAAGCAAGCAGGAAGGTKTGTGATRTTATTAGKATAKTGTGTGTTTATTCTGTAATATTTTTGTACATTTTGTATGAATGTATTTCACAGATTTTCTGAACACTCTGCAATAATTGTTTGTTAAAGCGTTTTTATATTTGAGAAAAGTACACCGTAATATAATAAAAAATATACTCTTTATTATCCCTTTATACTATATGAATGGGGATATTGTAAGATTCGACCTTTAAACCGATGGATGGAAACGATTTGCGAATTGATATTTTTATAAGTCTCCTCTTTTTCCTCATGTGAAAAATGTAAAACACGACCGCAACGAATGACGGTTGACCATGGGCCTTTAGGCTGATGTCTAAATTGAAATGTTTGATTTTTTTTTCTTTTACACCTTATCGTTGCTACATATTGTTATTTTACAAAAGATTTCCAGGATTTCTTTGGGAATTTCTAGATTGTATATGTACTTACATGTACTTTCTTTAATCGTTTCAGGTTGGAACAAATGCTCAGTCAACAATGGAGGCTGCAGCGATCTTTGTCTAACACGAGGAGGCCGACAGAGAACATGCAGCTGTCCGATGCACTTCCGATTACTTCCCGACAATAAAACCTGCCAAGGTATGAAGCAATCACTGACACTGGTGAAAAACGCACTGCGCATGTCCACTGTTCCCGCTGAAATCTGCCTAATTTCCTTTGTAAAGCGATTTTTGTGAAAGTTTTTTACAATTTATAAGCTCGTTCACTGATATATAAGATTCATATTTCCATCAATCATTATTTATGATATGTTCTTTTAGTATGTAGTTTCTATTTTAATCTTGTCATTTCTATTTTGAGAAAATGAGGTTTTCGTAGTGTTTTCTGTGTTATCGCTGTAAATCGCCAGGCGCTCTGTTTACAGATTTCAAGACGAGAGCGGACGCGAGCGCCCACTGGCGGGAAAGCTGTGGGCATGCGCAGTGCGTTTTTCACCAGTGTCGCAATCACTAATAACTCGGAATTCTGTCGCAAATCTCATTTTTCAAAATTTTTGCGTGATTGTTTAGCGCTCAGTCAATACTAATTCGTTTTTGTAATCTTACTAATCAATAATCCTTCGTTYTTTAGCTCCAGAAGCCTTTATGCTGTACAGCACCACCAAATCGATCCACCGATTCGTCTTCGATTCCGACGACTTCGCCGACATCAGCCTCCCACTACACGAAATAGAGAAAATGAATGCTATTGGCTACGATATCAATTCCGAGTTTGTTTACTGGGTCGATATGAAATCGAACTCAATCCAACGAGCTTACGAAGATGGTTCGGGATACTCAGTCGTGATTTCCGAAGATGGCGTCACACCTTTTGATCTGGCTATCGATCCATATGGAGAGCAAATCTATTGGACTGATAGCAGCAGGAATGATATTAATGTTTTTAGTTTGAAGAAGATGAAGCCTTTGGGAGTTGTGACATCGAGGAAGAATGAACGTCCACGGTTCATTGTGTTGTACCCGGAAAAAGGGTAAGTATATAGCGTGACACCGTGACATGAATATAACGTGACACCGTGACATGAATATAACGTCACACCGTGACATGAATATAACATGACACCGTGACATGAATAGAGTGTTTAGCGTAACTTAAAGTGCAGTTGTACTAAGAAATAATGAGTTAAAGGAACAGTACTAACCAGCACGCACCTAGTTTACAAGGTTTTTGGGTTTGACTTGCAGACCACATATTGACCACATATTGTACTTAGCCAAGACACTTCACTTTCCAACTGCTTCTCTCTGCACCAATGGCTGGATTATTCAAAGTCCGATTAGCATTAATACACAGGGTTTTAGCTCCATAGGTTTTGAGTTAAGCAAGATTAGCGTTAATCGAGCTTTGAACAACCGGGCCAAGGTGTATGCAACGGATACCCTCAGCCCTGTAGCCCTAAGCCAAACATATGTTTCTGTTGTAACAAGCTAATGAAAAAGAGCCATTTTATTTGTGCCCAACTGCGGTCAACAACCTATTTTATAACTCTGGTTTATGGTCTTACATTCACTGATAATTACTAATACGATTCTCATTTGGTTTTACAGTCAAATGTTCTGGACTGACTTGGGCGAGGAAGCGGGAGGCCGACCATCGATACATCGTGCTGCAATGGATGGAACTGACAGGGAAACTATAGTCAACACGGATCTCATCTCCCCCCAGGGACTAGCTGTTGATACAGTGCTGGAGAAGATTTACTGGACAGACACGCATTTGATGAAAATAGAATATGCAGATCTCAATGGTAGGTACCGTCAACTCTCGCTATTACGGACACCCTCGGGACCGTAATTTAGTGTCCGCAGTAGCGAGAGTCCGTAATAACGGGAGTTACTTTCAGTCACTTCTTTGTATTTTTCTCCGGGGATTCAGTATTTCGTGTCCGTAATATCGAGGTGTCCGTGTTAGCGGGTGTCCGTAAGGCAAGTGTTGACTGTATATAGCTTTTTTAGAAAACCTTGAATACTAGATATTTTACCACAATTTTCTTGTTTCTCGGCAAACAGGTTAAAAATACGATGACTAAATTGGTTTCCCTGTCCTGTTTTTCTTTAAATTTTGTATTTACTAGAAGTTTTAATTATCTTATTAATATTCAAAAAATGATTGACAGGTGCCAATCGTGCAGTCCTTGTAGAGCACAACCTACTGAAGCCCATTAGCCTTGCCATATATGGTGAGTTTTTATACTGGATTGACAGCCAGGCTCGTGTTATYAACCGCGCTAAAAAGACACTCGGTAGCGATTTGAAGACAATTCAAGCCAACATCGACGATTTGACGGATTTGGTTGCTTTGGATCGCACCAAACGCTCAGGTAAGCGAATCGCCAGAAATTGTACAAACTTGTAAGGTTAAGGACGATTTAGACGTGCAACTTTTGCCTACAGCTATCACATGCATAAGTCATCATGACAACATGCATATAACTGTAGTAGGGTTAATCAAACAATTGTTTTTAAACTCTACGACAGTTGTAGCCACGTTGTAATGGTGACTTATTACGCAGGTTGCATGCGACAGTTGTAGGCAAAGGTTGCACCGTCTAAATCGGCCTTTAAAGCATCGCTACAACTATTGTAGATTATTACACAATTGTTTTTAATCTCTACGACAGTTGTAGACATGTTATAATGATGACTTACGCATATTGCATGCGACAGTTGTAGGCAAACGTTGTACCGCCTAAATCGGCCTTTAGAGTCCCTTTGTTTAGGTGTTGTTTTGTTGCTAGGTTCCCATCCTTGTGCACAGAACGACTGCAGCCATATTTGTCTTGTCGGGCGGAATAACAAGGCGAAATGTTCTTGTACGGGCGCACTGGTTCGACAAGAAGACAACAAGACTTGTGGAGGTAGGACTCAACGAATCAACTAGTCAGTTCAATTCAATAGCACTGGAAAAAAATCGCGCGCTATAAAGGTTGTAAATTTGATGTAAATATGATGTAAATGATTTCCATTAAATTTACAGAATTTTGGACACTTACATCATATTTACATCAAATTTACAACCTTTAAAGCGCGCGATTTTTTCCAGTGTAGCCTCCTTCACGGTGACGGTTCCCTGCATCGTAGCGAGACAAGGCGTTGAGCGTGCAATGATAGATAACTGTAAAAAAATTGTCTGTAGGTGCACGCTCAACGGTTGTCTCGTTTCGTTGTAAAGGCACGGCTACCTTTCAAAATGGCGCAGGGAACCGTGAAGAGGACTATTCAATTMAAGTCTATTTTTGACGTTGCATTCTAAAGTGATGTTTTGTTTTTCAAATAGAACCATCAACGTGCAATGCCAACCAGTTTACTTGTCTAAACCGTGCYTGTATTCCSGCKGCCTGGAGGTGTGATGGAACCCCTGATTGTAAAGATCAAGCTGACGAAAAGAACTGTCGTAAGTGTTTTGATGTTATAGAAAGTATAAGCAAACGGCAAACGGCAGAGCAGAACCAATGACCTAAGAATTTCGTGCCTGACCTTGTGCTTTTGGTAGTCATTTGAAAAAGCGACTTTTCACGAATACGGCAAGCTCAAAATAACTCACTCTCGCGTTGAAACTGTAACGGTAAACCCCCAAAAATGCAGGTCACGGATCTTTTCTGCCGTTAACAGTTTGCCGTGGACGTTATGCTTAAACGTGATAGTGGTGGAAACTACCGGTAAACGTAAACTAGTGTGAGCTGTTTGGTGTTTCTAAAGAAACAGTTGTGTAAAAAAAAATTAACACCGTAAAAAAGTAGGTGAAAGAACTTACTGACGTTTCGGACGTAAATCCTTCGTTTCGGACGTTCATCCTCCGACGAAGGTTTTACGTCCGAAACGTCAGTAAGTTCTTTCATTTACTTTTTTACGGTGTTAAATTTAACTTTTGACACAACTGGGTCTTAACGTAATGATGATATTAATTTATATTTGTCTACAGCACCATGTACTGAGGGCCAGTTCAAATGTAAAGACGGTCAGTGCATCGACTTAAGTGCCAAGTGYGATAACCGTACRAACTGTTCCGATGGAAGCGATGAACATGACTGTTGTAAGTTCTGTATAATGAAATAGTTAACTTCGCACCCTGTGGTGCATAAGGCCTCCGTCCAGCTTCTCCACCTTTCGGGTTGTAAGGTGGCTCCACTTGTTTAAMAATGCCYTTCAGCCCCCTTAAGACAGTAATAAGAATAGAGTTACYTGCGAAGGAGGCTGGRAAGAAGGCTGTTTTTRTAGTTGGTTCGTKTATAWWGTTGATAATTGAAAGATTGATATCATGCATGTAATCGTRCACACCCAGTTTTTATTTTACCTAATGACGTGTCTTTATGTTTAGCTGTCTGTGGACCCAACGACTTCAGCTGCCACGAGACAGGAAAATGTATAACTGCKACATGGGTGTGTGATGGTATGCCTGACTGCAGCGATAACTCAGATGAAATGCACTGTGAAGGTACTTTGACTGATATTTCTTAAGCGCCGTTTACATGAGCAATGTTTCCTTAACAAGTTTCTTGACAAGGAAATATTGTCCGTGTAAATGGTCAACAAGTTTTACTCGACAATTCTTCCTTGACAATGTTTCTTTGCTAGTATAAACGAAGAACAAGTTTTTCTGACAAGGAAAAATTGCCAGTGTGAATGGTCAACAAGTTTTCCTTGACAATTTTCCCTTACCACATTTTCCTTGTTGTCCTTTTACACAAGCAAATTTCGTCCTTAACAATTTTTCCTTGTCAAGGAAAAGCGGACATGTTGGCTTTTCGTTGACAAGGAAAAATTGTCCATTTTACCCCATTTACACGAGCAATTTTTCCTTGTCAAAAAAAAAAAAAAATTGTTCGTGTAAACGCCGCTTTACAAATTTGTCTGAAGGAAAGGCGAATACAAGAGCACAATAGAGTGAAAGGCTATAAACGTTTTCCACCTAATTCAAACCACCCGAGAGAAAGTTTCATTGTTCGTTGTATTGATGGTTTTCAACCATTCCCATGAGAGTGAGCAAAACAAAAAGGTCCACCAGTCACGGTGGTGRTTYTCTTTTGTCAGGTCMACCARCAATGKCRGACATCTTTTGTTTAACTTTCTCTCCTGGGAATGGTTGAAAACCATCAATTTTCATGAATTCTTAGAAACAAAAGCTTTTTTTCCCCGCAGGATTTGAATTGGGTGGTAACATATATGGCAACGCGTTAAAATTCGAATGTCCATAGTACTAATCGTACATTCCATGTTCTTTCTGACAACTTGTCAACTTCACCTTTAGTATGGTCAACCGGTACGCGAACTGAAAATTAGGTGACTTCAAATATCAATTCGCAATCCATCTCCTCTTTCAAAGAGAAACAGAAACTCGCAAGGATGCCGGGTGACCATGGCCCTTTAATAGAAAAGTTGGCATTTTAGAATACACGATGGTTGATCGGTGAAAGATGAAACATTTTAGTGAACTTCAGATTTGACAACGAGTACGAGATTGAGTGCGAGTAAGAGTTTTGAAATTTGGTCTTAAGTGTGCTATTAATCATGAATTGCATTCCTGTGAATAGATTGAAACATCAAAGAGATAAAAGACACGAAGTGGATTGAAATTGAAATCTCGTACTCGTTGTCAAATCTGAAGTTTCCTTTTGTGAAGACGGAAATACCTAATCGTCTATATTTAGTCAAAAGAAACGAAKTCTSTTGATTCTAATTTCGTTTTGTTCCAACTAGGAAATAGCACCAAGGTCGACCCTCCTCTTAAACTGGCATCACCCATGAGCGCCAAGATGGTTGGTGGTATTGTGTCTTCGATAATCGTATGCATTTTCGTTTTGGCTGTWTCATTACTTGTCTGGCGAAAGCTTAAGCGAAACCCAGACAGTCACGTGTCACACGAAATTGGTCTTGTAGTCACGCCAGTTTTGAACGGTCACGCGCCGTCGTCATCATCTCCGAGTGAATCTCACGCGAGTCTCTATGTGTCTGTTGTTGGRTCTGGAAATTCAGGTCAAAGGGTRATGCTCTTTTCAAAGGACAGCGCTCAYAGTACGGGTACAGCGCAAACTGCTTACGACCGSAACCATCTTACTGGGGCTTCCTCCACKTCGTCAGCGTGTACTGTTATTAGCACATATCCACGWGAACCACTCAATCCCCCTCCGTCACCAGTGACGGAGCGRTCGCTATTCTCATCAAGATCACGTGGTTATTGCGATTCTGTAATGACGCCTTCCACGTGTCCAAGTCATCGTTATTATCGTACGCACATGCCGCCACCGCCCACTCCAGTGTCTACAGACGCCGAATCGTCGATTCAYCAACCTTTGCATCGATACCATCGGAAATCACACGGGCCGCGGAGCAAAAAGACTAAACGACACGCGTGCAACGACACCGTGTACGATTCAGACATTTTCGCGCCACCACCGACGCCGAACACGAACTATCTCTCAGAAGCAACTCATCTTTCKGATCAAGAGTGCCCGCCGTCTCCGACGATTACCGAAAGGAGCTATTTTCATCCCTACCCCCCTCCCCCATCGCCAGTGACTGACACACCGTCTCTGGTGTCACAATTATATTGATGCTARTAATCAATGAAGCTATTAATAGCAATGAATGTTTATAAGAGAATGACTGGAAAAAGATCCTCGAATCTGATGCGTTTGTGTGGGAATTTTATGGTTTGTAAATCCCGTGGATTTGCCGATGCTTGACAAATTATCTACAAAGTTATCGTTCCCTGTTTTATACGTTTCATGTATTTTTGTCCTTACTTTTCTGCTTCTCATTTCTGTAATTTCTGATGTAGTCGTTCTTCTGCCATCATCTTTTTCTCCTCGTCTTTTTTTTCATGTTGTGTTTCCCTTTCTTCTTGTCCTTGTTGTTGTCATTCAATCTCTCCTCCTTGTTTTTCTTGTTCTTCCCTTTATTCTTCTTGTTTTCCTTCTTAACAATATCGATGGATTTATCATCAACGTATCTAGTTTTATCTCTTTTTTGTTTCCACGCATATCAACAGTCATGAGATTCGAGGATTTTGAATTTTTTACCTTCCCAAGTGCCTTTGYGCTAAAAGTCTCTGTAGACAAGATGGAAGCCATATTGGATTTTGCTATAATTCATCCTATATAATGACAGTAGGCTGTAACTTGTCTTGAAATACAAGTTTGGTGTTCCACATACAAAATATCTTTGAGTTACCGTTAATTTATTACTAATTTAATGCAAATTTTTTTTCCAATTCATAAAATGTGGCAACTTAAAAGCGCAAAGGCTCTTGGGTAACGTAAATATTTAAATGCAWTATATATCTGTATATACTGTAAATACCATATAGTTGTAAATGATATATTCTCCCAACTCTAAAAAAGGGTTTACAATGCTTATATTGGGAGAATTTAAAATGAATCAGCAAAAACAGTCGATAAATGATACTTTGACCGCCATCTTGTTTCGTGTGCAAGGGATTCTGGGTRTTGGCAATCCCAGAATTCCTGGTACAAAAAATAATTTTGGTGATTAATTTCAGCCAAGTGTGAGGTATCAGCCCATGTTGGATGGGAAATAACTCATTTTGATTGGCTAAGGCAAGAGCCTGTCTGTAGAATACCTTTTTATATTTTGTTGAATTAATATATTTTATTAAAATAAAATTATTACAGCGTCTTTGGTGTGTTGTTTTCCTTAGAGTATGCAAATAGAGTGCCAATCATCGGACTGTGAAAGTAATTATGCTATAGTATACTCCGATTCTACTGTTTTCCTTGGCAAACTAACTACAACACGCTGACAAATATTGCTTTTCGCTGGAGCTGATAGATACTTAGACACTAAAACTATAAAAAACTAACTTGTTTTCTTTAAATTGAAATATGAATATTAGAAAAATATTAAACAAAACTATCATTAATTCTTATTCAGTCTAATAAAAACCACTATAGCTGGTTGAAACAATTACTAGGTAGTGTTGAACAGTTTTTGATAGCCATATTCCAAGGAAAGAAAGCAAATTTTTGATGGGCTTTTTGGTGTTATAGTGGAATTTTTCCTTAGGGTGTCTTTGGTTGACGTAACAAACTGTAAATCTAGCGTTGAGTCAACTGACAACTATTACAACTATTCAGACAATTCAAAACAATTTCTAAAACTTTGCACAGTAAATTATTTAAAAGAGCTTTGTGGAGCTGAAATGCAAATTGGACGAAAAAAAGATAGAAAAGCAAAGAAACTACGTCAAAAAATGCTTTCAATCGGTATATTTATTGCTCATCTTATATTGTTGATGTTCACAGTTTATAGTTTCAACCAATCCTTACTCAGATTCACACTGCAGGAAACTTTCTGCTCTCTGGTTGTTTGTATTAACTGAAGAATGCGCTACGAAGCACATTTTAATAAAGGTAGCGCCTCTCTGATAGTAGTTGTGTAGTTCTACATTGAGCTTAAAAAGACTCATTTTCTTCCTGAACACAAAGAAAGAGTTTTCCTGAAGTTATTTCTGAGAAATGTGGCGATATTGTGATAGTGGTAAGTGTCGTTACCGCAGAAATTTTACTTGGAAACGCGTTTTGAGTCGCCAATAATGAAAACAAATTCATGTACTTTTTAGGTTGATCTAATGTTGTTGACTACAAACGGTGATGAAAAGAAAACGCCTTCGCTTTCAGACAATTCTACGAGAAACTACCCTTGCTTCCTGACATATCGGTAAGAGTAAAACCTTTCAGAACTTCTTGCTAAATCCCCTAAATATGTTGCAACAAAGTTTTTCGTCAAGTAGTCATTAAGGTTTGATCTACTGAAGTAAGAAAACCTTTTGCGCAATTAATTGCCACAAAGTATCAGATAGAGACTGAAAAATTCAATGGAATATTTTTTTTTTTGTTGGCTTTGATGATGGAAGAAAACATATTGTAAAACTAGCGTTGAGTCAGCTGACAACTTTTGCAAGTATTGCGTAACTGAAATACAAAATTGAATTGAAAAAGCAGGGGAAAAGTTTGAATCAATTCTTTAATAGATGAGGTGACGGTTTCGGCCACCATTTTGTTCCGGTAGGCAAAGTGTCGCAAAATAACAAGGAATGACCGGGAAATCGATGTCAAATAATTCTCGCTGAATTCAAATTCAGAAAGAATTATCAATTGCAAACATTAGATACTGCAAAAAGGAGTTAACTGGCAAAATTTGAAAGGCGTACTTGATCTAGAGAGCGAGTAAACTCATTTTTAGTTCTCCATACATTTCTTTGTATTTTTCACGCGCGTCACGNCCGGGACGAGTCAGCGGGTTTTCCCACCAAAATAGAGCTTTCTACAAGTTCCCTTGAGGTTTGAACTTTTTAAGATCAAATTTTCTACTCTTGTGCAACGATCCTTTATCTTAATACAATACTGGGCTAAAATCGAAACGTTCAAAACATCGACAAACGAGTATTGGGATAGCACGCCCTGATCCTTGAATTCATTAGTGGCTTGTGAGGTGCTCGTTTGGAATGTTCAAATTGTAAATAATATTTACTGGAACACACGTTTCCCTCAGGTATTTTAAACAATGATCATCAGTTGATATTGTGATCTTTTGTTTATACTTGTAGATTTCTAAGGAATTTAAAAGGTCTGACATTGTTTACACTACATAGCGTAGACTTGATCTTGTCGTTCGTATTTCCCGCTATTTACCACTGCGCGCAAGGCGCCAGTAAAAACCGCCAAAATTAAAGCAGTCGGCCTAGTCTGAAAGCCACGTTTGTAAGGTTTATTTTGGTACCAAACATGGCGAATAAAATGGAAAGAAACTGGAAGATCAGGCAAGTATTTGCATGAAACACGCGTCTTCGCCAGCCATTTCACCGTCAAGTTAGTGTTTTCAAATTGTACGATTTCTAGTACCAAAAGGGTTGAATGATTGTCTGTAGGTGTGAAAGAAGGTTTCTATCATTGCACGCTCAACGGTCGTCTCGTTTCGGTGTAAAGGCACGGCTACCTTTCAAGATGTCGCAGGGAACCGTGAAGGAGACTATTTCGTCAGAATCAATACTTCAGTTTCGAGATCTTCGAAAGCATGTGATATATTCTTTCATCATATAATTATTTATGTATATAATACATGTATTTCTTCATTTCGTAAAGTTGAATTTTCACTGGAGAAAATAACTCATTCGCGGTTTCTCTATATAGTGGAAGTAAGAAAAAAGGCATTTTATGACATAATTTTCTTTCATATGAATAAGTAAACTTGCTGGCAAAGATTTGAATAATGAACGAGTATGCGAGAAGTCAGTTTGATCATATTTAACTTTAAATATTTCGGCTACTAGCCGTAGCCATAGAATCTGAATTTTACATGTAAATTAGTTAAGTAAAGACAAAGTTATGGTGTCATTTTGTTCATTTAAACTACTAGGATTGTATTGTTTGATGCATAACTCGTTCATTATTCTTTCATATACAATTATATGATAAATAGAATATTACATGGTCGCTTGGGATACGAATTTTATCTTCTCGTGTTGAAAATCTCTCATGAGTGATCTTTTCAAAACAATATCCGTATCTCCGTACGCCCATGTAATATCTATCCTCTATTTATTCAGCAGAGATCTTTCAGAGATACTGACTTAGAACTGATTTCCTTTGTTTCAAGAACTCAACTAAAGAAACAAAACAAGCCATGTAGATACAGAAGAAAATTTGAGAGCACTGCGATATCATTTGACATAACAAAGTGCTACACAGCAGGTTTCCTTGGATTCGTTTTGAGCGATGATTGCAAACCCAGCTTACATTTGGTAAGAAAACAAAACATTTTGAAGCTGTCTTTATGTGGTGTTGGATGCTATATTTTAGATCAAAAATGATGGAATAGACCTAATCGTCTAACGCGTTACCATGTACGTTACCATCCAATTCAAGTCCTGTGGGAAAAAGAACTTTTGTTTCTAAGAATTCAACTGTRAAATGAAAATACAACGCACAATGAAACTTATTCCCGGATGGTTTGATTTGGTTGGAAACGTTTATAGCAATTTTCAACAATTTCCTTTGAGGATCCAGCAATTWTGTTTTTCTCAACAATGTTTATGGTGTTTGGTGATTATTTAATGTTACAATTCTTGCTTCTCCAGACTACAGTGTTAAGCTTATGCTAGTGATTGACTGTTCACTTTCCGGATGAGAGGGGAAATTGATGATGGCACATTTCCAAATCTTAAAACGATCGAAAACAGTAATACACTCAACAAAGAAGATCAATCAAACAATGATTTGGTCAGTAAGAAACTGGTATGATATTTCAACAAACACCAGTTCTTTGATAAAAGCTATATCTGACGGCCATACTGAACTATCACGTGAGCTAATTACTCAAAGTGTAGATCCCAATGTCACAGATGATGGAGGACAAACACCTTTGATGTGCGCTGCATTTAAGGGCAATAAAGAGATAGCTGAAATATTAATTCATGTAGGTTCTGAAGTGAACCAAAGAAATCATAAAACACAAACGGCCCTCTTTTATTCACTTGAAAATGACAACGAAGACGTTACACGACTATTGATTGAGAAAGGTGCTGATGTTAATGTAACTGATGACTTTGGACTAACTCCTTTATTACATGCAGCTGGAAATGAGAACGAAGAGATTACACGAATGTTAATTGAGAAAGGTGCTGATGTCAATGTATCTGATAAATATGGAAACACTCCTTTATCACATGCAGCTGGAAATAACAACGAAGATGTTGTACGACTTTTGATTAAGAAAGGTGCTGATGTCAATGTAACTGATGACTATGGAAACAATCCTTTATTACATGCAGCTGGAAATAACAATGAAGATGTTGTACGACTTTTGATTAAGAAAGGTGCTGATGTCAATGTAACTGATGACNTTGACAAAACCCCTAACTATGTTGCAATAAAGTGTTGCGCGAAGTAGTGATTTCAAARGCCCGTTTAGACTTGCGTTTTTTGCAGCGCGATTATCGCGCGACACATCGCCTGAGTTTCGAACATGCTTGGAATTTAGCTGCAACTCGCAGCGATTTTCGATCACCGCAACAATCGCAGGTCTGTTTACAAGTGTGAATTGCAAGGTTCGCGAGTACCAAGTGGCGATTGTCGCGCGACAATTGCGTTGCAAAAATCAAGTGTAAACGGGCCTTAAGTAGTGATCCAGTGAAGTAAGCAAACTTTTCATGCAATTGCAATAAAGTTTAGAGAGTGAACATTCAATGCGATATTTTCTTGGTTGGCTTTGATGATGTACTTTAAATCTAGGGTTTTTTTAGCTGACAACATTTTGTAAGTATTGCCTAAACGTAATAAGTGTAAAATTGGATGGAAAAATGGAAAAATCAGGGAAAAAGTTTGTATCGATTACCATGAAGATATTATTCAGTATATATTTTTGATGTTTACATCGTTTCACCAATCATAATCACGCTGCAARAAACGTTCTGCTCTCTGGTTGTATTTAACTGAAGAATGTGCAACGAAGCATTTTTTAATGATGGAAAGAGCCTTTGAATTCTTAGTCTTGCAGTCTTTCATTCGGTAATAAAGACCTATCTTGCTTGTAAACGGCATTCCAAGAATTTTTATACCTGCATCTAAGCTATTTAGTCGGACTAGCCGAAGGCGGTCCGACTTTAAATTTACCTTTTAGCCAATCTATCTATTTATCATATGACCCGTATTTCGGACCTACGCATAATATAATCATATGATTAAACAGAATATAACATCATAATCTTTTCACTCGTGTCTATCAATTTTCAAAAATAGCTAGTCCGACTTCACGCCTCAGGGGCGTCTAGTTCTGCGAAATGTGGCGATCGATGACAGAAATGGTGTGATAAATCTGAATTCATGTAATTACACAAACATCTTTATTGATTCAAAAAACCTAAAAAAATGCATTCCAATACTTTTAGGTTGGTCTAGTTGTTGGCTGCAAACGCCGATCAAAAGAAAACGCCTTCGCTTCCAGACAATTCCACGGAAAACATTCTTTCTGTTGATCCTGACCTATCGGTAAGTATAAGTAAAACAATCCATAGAAACTTAAGTAAAAATACGTGTAAGAAGTAGGCAACTCTCTATTGTTCTGCGGTAATTGCAACTTCTGGGTTCCCTTTGATAACAGTGCACATGCAACTGATGGGACCACACTTAGCTTTATAATAAATAAAGGTTTATTCATTCATTCACACATACAAATGTATTGGTTTTCACACTCATTATATATCAGTCTATGGGTAATACAATCTAAACTAAAATGTGGATAAACTCTCATTGAAACAAAGTTTCTTTTAATTGTAGATCTGAAACTCTTATTCGTGAGTCTGATATAATTACTATTTTGTTGTGTTATTGGGCTGTCTGACTCACATATTTCTGTTTCTTCTCGACGTTTCGACGCCATTCTGGTCGTCGATTGCTTAGTACATAGCAGTTTACCTTGGGTTCGTTTTGAGTGATGATTACAAACCCAGCCTACGTTTGGTAAGAAAACAAAACAATTTGAAGCTGTCTTTATGTGGTGTTGGATGCTATATATATTTTAGAGATCTAGACTAACCCCTCATGATTGTAAGCCGCGTGGCTGCCAATTGCGCCTTAAAACAGCGGTCCGTGTGAAATGATCTATACATGTGAAGCGCCTTTGAACTCAGAGGATATCGGCGCTATATAAATACCACATATTATATTATTATTATTATTAGATCAAAAATGATGGAATAGACCTAATCGGCTAACGCGTTACCATGTACGTTACATTCAAATCCTGTTGGGAAAAATAGCTTTTGTTTCTAAGAATTCAACTGTGAAAGGAAAATACAACGGACAATGAAACTTACTCTCGGGTGGTTTGATTTGGTTGGAAACGTTTATAGAAATTTTCCACAATTTCCTTTAAGGATCCAGCAATTTTGTTTGTCTCAACAATGTTTATGGTGTTTGGTGATCATTGAATGTTACAATTCTTGCTTCTTCAGAACCAAGTGTTAAACGTATGCTAGTGATTGAGAAGAGAAAATGATGATCCACATTTCCAAATCTTAAAAGGAAACGATCGAAAATAGTAATAAACTGAACAAAGGAGATCAATCAAATAATGAGTTGGTCATTAAGAAATTGGTTTGATTTTTCAACAAACACCAGTGCTTTGATAACAGCTATACTTGACGGCAATAATGAACTATCACGTGAACTAATTACTCAAGGTGAAGACCCTAATGTCACAGATTATGAAGGACGAACACCTTTGATGYGTGCTGCATTTAAGGGCAATAAAGAGATCGCTGAAATACTAATTGATGCAGGTTCTGAAGTCAATCAAAGAAATCATAGTCAACAAACGGCCCTCTTTTATTCAATTGCGAATAAGAACGAAGAGGTTGCACGGCTACTCGTTTTAAAAGGTGCTGATGTCAATGTATCTGATAAACATGGACAAACTCCTTTATTCAATGCAGCTGGAAATGACAACAAAGAGATTGTACGACTGTTGATTGAGAAAGGTGCTGATGTCAATGTATCTGATGGAGATGGACGAACTCCTTTATTCAAGGCAGCTAAAAATAGCAACGAAGAGGTTGCACGACTGTTGATTGAGAAAGGTGCTGATGTCAATGTATC